CGTATTTTGTTTATTATCTCATGATAAAAGTCATTTGTTCTTTTTCTTAAAAAGTAACAGGGATACCCACATACAGGTAATACTGCGCTTATTACCTACTACAGGGTTTCGACGAAGTCATTTTTAGGGCAGGAACCCCTAAAAGGGCGTTAAATTACTTAAAACTCGAATGCTTTATCAAAAATCATAGCCGCATTCATTATGATATGAGTCAACCTTACAAGGTAGTTTATAGCTATAGCTACAAAACGAAAAAATAAACATTGAATTTACATGAGATTTGAAAACTAGCAAGACATCGTATGAATTTTAATTAGTCAGCAACTTTATCAATCAATTCCGAATTTTATTATATGTATAGCACAGCTTGTGCTGAAGCATTAAGCCACAATGCCGGTTTTCAGCTGGACTCGTTACCCACATTATTACGTACTCATCTTTGTGTATACTTTGGGCCGATTTACACCGGAATGGCAGCGGCCGGCAGCAATGCGACGAGCAGTTTCAGTGTGAAATAATTCTAAACTTTATCCACATACTAAAAAACCAGTATCGCTTGAAACGGACCCACGGTATCACGTGCGGGAGGCCGCACAACTCTTCGAACTTTTCAAGCGATACTGATCTTTAAACTGTGTAGATAAAATTTTAAATTATTTTACACTGAAAATGCCCTCCAAGTCTCTGCCGGCCGCTGCAATTCCGGTGTGAACGGCGCTTACTGTTTAAAACTGTAAAAGTTTCCGTTAATTTACTATTTACAGAGTGGTATAAACGTATCAAATGAAATATTGTAATAAAACATTTTTTGTGAGCACGTAAATCATTAAGCAAACTGTCACAGATCCCTTACTATTGTATCAGCGAGCAAGTCGCGTCAAGCTGCGTTTCAGGCGAAAATCATTTTTTATATCTAACTATTGCAATATTTGGCTGTACAAACAATGGAATTGAAATAGGTGGCGCAGGCTCATGTTTTTCTACCACATTATTTGATCTTAAGAGTACGTATGAATCAAAATAATTATGACATGCCTTATTTTCTTTTTTTATGTTAAAAGGCAAACAAGCTTACGGTAAGGGGCCACCATAGCGTCTAGACGCTTTCGATACCAAAAATCCCCATACACAATCCCTTTTTTTTGTGTCTGGGAAATGCTTTACGCATCCTTCAATCACTGGGGGAGCTAGAAGAAGGTATGTGGGACTCCTCCCTGTTCATTTCAGAGAGCTCTGTGGCCGGGTGAAATAAGCAAGGCCCTAGCTAACGCTCTGAACAGGGCCCCTAAAAACCAGACAATACTCCTGCACCATCACCCGACACGCACTATGAGGACCGCGGTCCCCTTAGTGCATGCCGAGAGGGCGGGTATGGTCGCGGCACCCGTTGCCGAAGTGCCGCGCACCCGCCAGGTGTTTGTCCGCGAAAGACACAATCCCCTACCCCGTGGAACCTTGGATCCTTACCCACCTACCAACTCACGGAAACACAACACCATCAAAAGGTAGTGTTATTTCACTGTGGTCTTCTGTAAGGTGGAGATTTCTTCCCCAGACGGGTGCTCCTATTTTGGGAACTCCGCTATGCCCTACCTCACTTTACTCATACAATTTGAAGCACATGCAATTTCTATTTAAGGGGTGGCTGAAAAACAGCGTTGGTTCAGGTCTAGGCTTGACCAACATTGGCTGAGCCATTTCCTATTGTCTTATTTTTAACGAAATTTTATTATTTAAATATCTGTTAACATGTAAAAAAAAGACAATAAATTATTATTATTATTATTATTATTATTATTATTATTATTATTATTATTATTATTATTATTATTATTATTATTATTATTATTATTATTATTATTATTTAAATGTTCGTCTGCGTTTCGCCTCCAGTTTGGCGTGACGTGAGCGTACGCCGAGCGTCATAATTTAAGCATTTTGTCGTATGACATTATGGTAATTGTTTTCATAATATTTTTTGATACGCTCGACCTGAGTCCGCGCGGACACGAAATTCGAATTTGGGATAGCGTTGTGCAATGAAGTTTATTTGTTTTTTATTATAAGTAAAATTAATAATTTTGTGTAGGACAATACATTAAATTGAGTTTTAAACTTTTCATATTTAATTTTTATTTAATTAAAATTTCTATCCCAATGCTATATGCGATTATTTTTTAATAAAATTAGTGAAAACTTAACCTATGTGTTTAGTACAACTTTGCCGTCCACGCGAACTGTTAAATTTCAGAAACCGACCGAACACGTAGCGAAAACTAATTGTATTTCATACTAGCGGCCGCCCGCAACTTCGTACGCGTGAAATTAGTTAGAAATGAAGGTTCACTGCTCGTTCCCCATAGGTGATAGCGTGATAAAATGTAGCCTATATGTTGACCCGTCTTCTTAATAATATTCGTGCCATTTTTTTAAATAAATCCATGCAGTACTTTTTGAGTTTATCCCGGACATACATACAGACAAACAGACAAAAATTCTAAAAACTATATTTTTGGCTTCGGTATCGATTGTAGATCACACCAAGTATTCTTTTAAAAAAATATTTAATGTACAGTTTTGACTTTCATAACATTTTATATGTATAGATATTAGCCTGGAAAGTCCTTGTGTTTATAGGTAGTTTAAAGCATTCATAGTGTTGAAAAACTTGCCAAACAACCAAATAAATCACAAAAACCTTGAGATGACATTCGAGTATATTCTGTATAAACAACGTTGTTCATCGTTCAGTCACTTATAAAAGTGCCACGCTGAACTCGCTTTGCACCGCCTTTGGTTTGTATTGTATCAATCTGCTTTGTATTTTATGAATCATTATATTCAAATAAAATTGGAAAATAAAAACGCTTCGTCTTAATTTCATTATACCGTCTATCTGTCAATGGCATAAAAGTCGAAAGAAAAGACCGTTGAAAATGTCAACAGAGTATCGATATCGGCATTTTTCCGGGTGCCGGGCAGCACTAAGCGATTTTATGCAAAACAGAAGCGGTGGGACATTATCAGATCGGCCAGCGCGTAAGCTCGGTCACACTTATTTACAGCCAAATTATCGGCCACCTACTCACCTTTTTAGTGCCTTTTTTTCTTTTAATTAAAACCACGATTCTGGAACGTAACACCGGCCAAAAAGGTCAATGTGTGAAAATAGTTTTTATGGACCGAAATTTAGCAATATTTACAATAAGGAGGTGGAAGTTTAAAAGATAATTATGTCATTGTCGTTGTCGTAGTATAGATTAAAAAAATATAACTCATTCGGAAGAAAAATATAAAACAGGCAACAGTTTAATCTAATTTCGTAGTAAAAAAGTTAAAATCTAGGTATAGATTGGTAAATTATCACATTAACTTACCCCATTTGCAAAAGCTTACAATTTATGTTGCACTAATAAAATTGTAACAGATTTTTTGTGTTTTTTTTTAAATTTAAAGTCACAAAGACTACATAACATTGGATTTTCTTTGCTCGTGTACGTGTCAAGGTTACTAGAATTTTAAATATAAAATATCATTTATTTTTTATTCTCACTTAGGTCACGTAGGCTCACTTTGCTACAATAACGATATAAGCAGTGATACATTTTCAGATAGTGTACTTATAACCATCAAGTAGTGTGATACCATACAATACAATCATACTATTATACTTAAATTATATAATATATATTACTAGCAAACCAGTGAACCAAATGTTCACCAAAAAAAAAAAAATTAATTAATTGAGAACTTCGGAGATTTTGTGTGGTTTCCTTTGAAATAGAAATCATGTGATTTCTCGAAAACCGGAAGTGCTACGTTACTCAAATCCGGTTTGTAGTCTTATCAGACTATTCTTAACTTATAACTTAAACATTCTCTTTATCTATCTCTTACGGTTTGGCCGCTGAAACAGCACCACGGACGGACGGACGGACGGACGGACGGACTTGTCTAATAGCTAAGAGATACTTAAATATAAAAAATTGTAGTCAAATTTGTCAACTGAAGAAAAAAATACATGTCCTTCACAAAATTCGTGAGCGGCGGCCCTTAGGGCACTAAGACGCATTTTAAACTGATATTCGCGTGTGACCAGCAACATTTTTATTCATAATTTTTTGGATTTTCACGGTGATCGGTCGCCGTGATACCATCGATTTTCCCCAAGGGGCACGCACCTACTCACTTAATTCCTGATTTAGTACCGCATCATATTTTGATAAGTATTTTTAATTTGAATAAATTATTATTTAAGTTCCTTATCGGTGCGGTGCGACGGTATAATCACGGTGGTTTCATGGCACAATGTCACAGTGGCCTTTGTCGCATTTCGTACGCGACGAAAAAAAAACATTCGAAAACTGAAAATGGGCGATAAAGATGTCACGTGGTATAATAATTTTGGCCGCGATGATCGCTCAAGATAAGCGCGTTTACGGGAGATATGAAAACTGATCGTGTACCTACTGTGTAAATATTATAGGTATGTTTTCTTTGTTCAAATATTGGCGGGAATTGTGTTCCTTTTGTTCGAGTGATTTTAGTGCAGGCTTTACCGTGGATTAAATAATAGCAATGGCAATAATTTTGCACGGATATAGCAATAATGTCCGTGATATTTAGATTCAGAGTTGCAATTACTTATTTAAATTATTTATTTTATTGCATTCAATAAATCGATATTAATTGATATGAAATCATTTTAGTTTGAATATCAAACTATTTTTATCCCTATCTTTTGCTTAAATATCTGCTAACCTGCCAATTGAAGATTAGATATATTGTTTTAAACTTTCATGGTCACTAACATTATAGTAATATAAGTTATTTACGGGATTGTTACCATGTACCTTGTTTTTAGCGAGTTTCCGATATTTCGGCACAATAGTGAGAATGTGAACAGTGGTACGGGTCGCAATAAAAGACTTCGTCGGAGGGTAGACCGATATGTCTGCCAATAACAGCCTACCCGCAATTACTTCAGTTACTCAGTGATCATGGCGCTTGCAACAGTGCCGAAATATCGGAAACTCGCTAAAAACAAGGTACATGGTAACAATCCCGTAAATAACTTATATTACTATAATGAAGATTAGATGTCTTGATATTATCTTCAAAAAGATAGTTATTAAATTAAATGAAACAATGACGTTGCAATTAGCGCTTGATTGTATAATTTATACAATTATAAACTTAATTCATCATTAATTTTATTAAAAGTAATAAATTTAATTTTTATTCCATCTTTTTGTTTCAGGTTCGTCAATTCTGCCGCGTCGCAATGCCACACACAGGTAAAAAAATTAAGAATACGCAATCCTTTTTTCAATACTTATTTATAATTGATAAGATTTAAGATCAATTCATTTATTTAATATTTCTATCTTAAACCAATGATTTTCGGTTCAGTCAACCCAACATCAAAAATGGCGCCAAAACAATGTCTATCTTTAGAAAAAAGTGAGACAAAGAACCCTGACATGATCCGCCTAATAGTAAGTTTTCGCGTAATATACAGCCAATAGACAGGTAATCAAGAAAAACCAACTAAAAACTCTTAGTTTATATTCATCTCTATTCTATACCACACTGTCGCACCATCAATGCTCTGCCACCCCACAACACTTAGGCCCGTAATACAGAATGACAACTAAGTGTTGATCTTTACTTGAACACAGTTAGAAAAGGATGTCGCTATGTGCTATATAAAGCGACATCCCTTTCTAACTATGCTCAAGACTAGATCAGTCACTGAGAATCTTTCTATAATACGGGCCATAATGCACTACAAGATTCATGGGTTTCATTAAACCGATTGAGGCACAACCAAAGTTTAAGCTCCCTTATAATTATCAACAGTTTAGTTTATCGGCGGTCCATCAGAAGCACCACAGCCTATGTAATCTGAGCAGTCGCATTAAACGCTACGCAGATCTTAATTAACGTAAACGGGCATTAAAAAGGCCGAAGACAAGCTTTATAGCTCCAAGTTACGGCAAACGATGTGTTTGCAGTGTAATGCCGCTTTGGTACCGAAAGGCTTAGGAATGTTGTATGCATACGAGGCGATATGGAACGTAACTATGTTAATTTTCGTTTTTCCTCGAGAACGGGAGCCCTGCCTTATCTACAATCCGCCTCACGCGTTGAAATCATAAGCGTTTCAAAGAACACCCAAATATGTCACAGTCTAAGGAGCAACAGTTCGCTCAGTGTATTTTAATAAAAGAAAATTTAAGGTAAAATGGTACAGATTATTGGAAGTTCCTTATCGCACGGCATGGATTTGGCGGGTTAGGCTAAAAAAGGGTTAAAAAAATCCGTCTCGACCGTCAGCTGTTTCGTAGCATATTGTGTGTAGTTGTAGTGTGATTTTTTACTTTGTTACAACCGAGTGTTGCACGAGACTCACGTTTGCTTTTTGATGTGTAACATCTTTCCTCTCGCTTTCCTGCAATTTGTGGGACGGAAGTGTGTAACAGGAAGTCGCGAAATCGCGCGCTATTTGATTTGATTTAAGAACATAATGTTCAAATGGCTTATTCCTTTTGTAGTAGGTTTTATTTCTTTTTTTACTAATATAAGATGAGGTTTAAAATGTTACACGTCATACGCGACTACTGTAAGGCTCGCTCGTTTTTTTATTGAAATATGGAATTTTATAGAACTATCCGAATGAATTATAATCAAATTCAATGGTCTTTCATAAGTATATGTTTTCAATTTTATTGCAATGATAAATAGATTCGTTTTGGTATATTTGTAAAGAACAGGAGGCTTACTTTAATAAAACGAAAAAAGAAAATTTCGGAAGAAACTTCGCTTTTTTCCTACTATGTTTCTGGTTCGTTTTTAATTATATAATAATATTCGTCGTCGAAATATAGGATGAGGTTTAGATTTGATAGCTTCAATTTGATAGTTTGCCGTTCAAATTAAGTATAACCTTAAATTGACGAAATTAAAATTCGATTGAACTTCGTTATCGAAAGCTCGTTTCGGAAAAAGATGGTGGCCCCAGGTGTCGAAAATGTAAACACAAACCTTTTTTACACAAAGAGTTAAAAATGCGATCAAGACGAGTTTAAGAAAAATGTCATACTTACAAAAAGGTTCTAAATAATGTTTAAAACTGTGTCTAACTTTTTCTAGTATGATGGTAAGACAATAAATAAATCATTACGTATTTTTTATTGCAATCTATAAATGTAATATTCACATTTATATAGAATATGCGCAACACATTAAATAATATCTTTCAGTTTGACAGTTTCAGTTCTTCAGTTTAACTTTGTTTCGTTTTTTTATTCTTTGCCACTAATATACTAAATACTTGAATATTTAGTTATGACATTCATTAAATAAAATATACAATTTACAAGAATACATATAAAAATAGTAAACTTATATTACAATAACTTATACTAAGGTATAATTTAAATATTTTGAAGATCAGATACCTAGCCAATTTAATTATTATCATTGCCAAATATTGAATTAAAAAAGTGTCGCTTTTCGTAATTAATTCGCTGCTTCTCGCTGCTCTGTGACAAGGTGCACACATTAACGGTAATTAAGAGAATCGAGAAACGAATCTGGAATCGAGATAAAATCGGATCTGTATCGAGTCAGCCCACCCGTAATGCTCACTCTCTAATACATTATACATGCTTAACTTACATTAGTTCCTTATTAACATCTTCTGACATCGAATCATTCCATTAAAAAAGGCCTCACCGATATACTTGACACATTTTTTCAATTCTAAACTCTAACGCTACTGACGTAAAAGCGTTTCAGGTTGCCTAACCTACAGTTTTGATTAGCAGCAAGCAATAAACAGCCATTTTCATATTCCAGTAATAATTTTGTAAACGTGATGATATCAGAGCATAAAAGAAATATTTGATGTTACTCTAGAGCTATAGCAAGCGAACGCCCACGATGTTTCCGGAGTCTTTGATAGGGCGATAAACATCATATTACCTACCCGGTGGACAATTTAAGGTTTCATGGTCATTAGAATCTGTACAAGTTATGATAATACCAATAATAAAATAATATGAGCGCCGCGGTTAATTAGACGGCGACTCTCGTGTTCTCATCGCATTAATGGTTCTTTGGAAAACCTATCAGCATCTCTTCCCAAGATTTCGCTTTAGTGATAAATTGATTAATTAAAGTGCCCAAGTTGATTAAGATAACCGAAAATGTGAATATTTTTCCTCGCTTGTTTTGATAAGAAAATAAGATACTTAGCTCTCATGTATTCCAAATACTTTCTATGTACGCTACGCTTTTTGTATTCCCTTGTAAAATTTACATTGTAGGCAAGAACAGTACACAAACGACAAAAAGCGCTGTTAAAAATTGTACCCACGGCTATTTTCCGCTTAAATTGAAGCGCTTTTCAGGTTAAGTGACCTCCGCATTACGATAACACTCGGCAACCTCATTTGACAAATGTTCATTACATGTGCAAATAATAATGTTATAATGCTCTAAAAATTATTACTAAAATTTTCCAACCGTGAAATGTTGAATGAAAGCTTGTCTTTCCAAAAATTTTTGAACCAAGTTTAAAAAAATAAAGCAATTCGAAAAAATATAAATGTCTTGTTTATCATACTTTAATGATATCGTATAGGAAACCAATATTTCCTCGCAGACGAAGTCGCGGGCCCCCGCTGGTATATGTAATAAAAACCTGATTAACTGCTCTTAGGTAATTCACTCAGAATACAGTCTATATTCTGAGGTAATTCATTATCTTAACAACATTTTGGCATTTTGTCTCATTATCATATTAAGTATATTGTCATATGATAGTCATATGATAAATCGTCTATATCATGTTTTTAAGTCTATTCAACTTCTGTATCGATAATTACCTTCTACACAGCGTTATCACCAGGCCAGTGATTTCTATCCGTCGATGATTAACGTTCGGTTTGTCCGACACCTACGCTTATCGAGCGATCTGGCGAGCTCAGGCGCGGCCGGCGGCTTTTGACACCAAATTATCTTATTGATGAACCACCGGGCGGGAATATGAAGATGCAATATGGATATGACCTTAAAAAAACACCTGGTTTAAAATTCATGTTAATTACTAAAACAACTTGACAATAATAATAATCTATTTATTTCTCTCAAGGAGGGTTGCAAATATTTATATGCTAATGTACAAAGTATAAATAGCAAATAATTCAACCTTTCCCGAGACTGGTATCTGCACTAGGCTGTGAAACCTGTCTTACAGATCACCAGGCTCTGACTCCGCCAAATGTCCAAAAAGTAATGACCCTATCTAAAATAAATTCAAATCTTTACGACGTATGTTTTTAACTATTTTCATAGCTAAAATTAGTTTAAATTTAAATTTTGCGCAATATTATTAACCCAAATAATAAATGTATTATTTTTATGAATAAAAATAATAAATGTATCATTTTTATGCAATAAAGAGAATAACAAGCTGCGCGCGGTGCTGAACGGTAATTGAACATGGCAACATTTCAACATTTTTCTAAAATCAAAGATTTAATAAAAGTAGCCTAAGTTACTCCTAATTACATCAGCTACCTGCCAATAAAAGTCCCGTCAAAATTGTTGCAGCCATTTCAAAGATTAGCCGGACGGACAGAAAGCCAGACAGACGGAGAAAATTTGTAAAAAATGTTATTTTCGTGTATGTACCATATATATATTGTAAAAAGCGGTTATTTCAATATTATAAACAGACACTCCAATTTTATTTATATGTATGTATGTATACAGTATAGATAGATTATTCGTTATATGTGTTTATCACAAAGAAACTACTTAGCGGCTAGATTGATTATTTTAATTTTCTGTTGATCACTGCTTGGTTAAAATTTATAAGTATAGTAGGTGAAGCTACATATCTACAGTCAGTTATTGGCCCTACCGATTGGTCACATTGGTCCACAATCTTTATTGTATCTATTCATGGAGTAGCTCCTCTAACTTCAAATGTAAAATCAATTCTGTACCTGCAAAACCATAAACCTTACCAAAACCTTAATACAAACTGAATTAATTCTTAAAACAATGAATGATTTTCATTTATTTGAAGAAGTCAGTAGCTTAAAAAGCCGTATCCACATTATACCCATCGCCGCAACAACAGAGGTTTCTGTATCAAATGAGTTTGAAAACATCACATCCTATTTTCTAGTTGGATGTTTACAACTGTGTTACAATTTTATATCGTAAACTTTTATTTGGACTTATTGTAAATTTATTTAAATGTTGACGATATTGTATCACT